CATAAAAGCATTTTAATATACACTTTTCTATGTAATATCTTCCTCTGTGACTTTTCTTGAGAAACATTTGCTGGGTGAATTTATGGAAAACTGTGAAACCTCCAACATTAAGGCGGCTTCGCTTTTCCGACAATAAAAGTGTCTGTGTGATGAAATGTATAGGAAACTCAGAGAACCTTTAACATGCATGCAACTGGTTCACTCAAGTTGTCAGTTCATGCCAGAAATCTTTCCAGGGTTTGTTGGCTACTAGATCATGATCTGAGATCTGAGATTACCACACCTGATAGAACACCTGATGCTTTAGTAGTTCATATTTTAAAATCAGTAAAAATGGCAACATTGTGTAAATGACGGCTAATTAAAATGTCACAGATTTGCAGTAAGTTGCTCTCTGTGTGACTGGAACCTTTTCCTGTAGAAATCATCACTGCTGGGTGGGAACACTTCCACTGATAGAAGAGCTAATTTTTCATTTAGCTCTTTAGCATTTTTGCTAACGTTGAAAATGTTTAGCGAACTTAGCTTCCCCTAACTTAATTCTTCCAGATAAATCCTAAGGTGCTCATTTATGTAGCAGTTTTGTACATTTTAAGCTGAATAATTAAACAAATGAACACTTTTATTTTGACACAAAAAGTAGTCCATACCATTTAGAAATAAATTAATAAACAAAATAAAGTTTGACATCTTTTAATTGACTGAAGGCCTGCAGACCGTTCAATTGTGTGATAATAAGTTTTGCCTTCTTGAGTTTGATGTTCTATGTTGTGTCATTTACATATTGTTGGTGGCAACAAGGCTGAATTTAGCGCTTTAGCATTAGCTTCCACAGACGTTAGCATTAGCAGAATAATAGTCTGTTTAGGTAGCGGTTCCAACCAGCTGGAAATCATATTCAGTTGACACCTTGTGAAGCATGAACAGAAACTTCTGCTTCGATTTCGGCACCTGGAGAATCTTCATCTGAAGCTCCAGAACGTTCTTCCTCTTCCTCCTCCTCCGTTAGCAGATGTTGCTCTGTCGTTTCTCATCTGCTCCACTTCTTTAGATGTTTCCACTCTCATCAGCACCAAGCAGATTGTTTTCCTCTCTGTATTTTCAGCAGTTTTTCATTTGTGTAGAAAGTGATGAATGGGCCTGAAAAGCCTCAGATGCTCTGAAATCCTTGTGAGACATCACTGTTTTTCCTTTTCAGCTGTTTCATTTCTGTACTGAGGACAGACAGAATCCAGCTGGGCCCCGCCCGGCACTGACGGAAAAAATTAGCATTTTTTCATTCGTTTTGTTTTAAATCTGTGCAACTTAATCCCCATTTCACCACCTAGAAAGTTTTTATAAACATGTCAAAATGAAAACTTCGGATTTCTCTGCATTTTCCTTTCAGGCATCTAAACATAGTTTGCTTAAAGATGTTTGCAGCTCCAGTTTTAGGCTTCCTGAGTTTTGATTTGGACTTTGGTTAATTTTTTTCTGTTTATTCCTTTCATCTGATCCTGACAGAGGGCTTTGAAGTGTCTGTTAAAATGTGAAAACTAGAAAACAAAAGAAGTTTCAGGCCTAAACCAACATTACTCCAGCTGATGATAATTATCTGGAAGTCATGTTTTCATGGGGAAAGTCCACAAAAGTTCTGCACAGGACCTAAGAGATGTTTTCTCCTTCTATTAACAGTTTTCTGCAATGTTGTCCCAAATTCTCCTTTTTGAAAACTCAAACTAAAAGCTGCAATGATCAAGGATTCAAATTATTGGTGATTTAAAATGACATAAAATGCTGTTTATCCAGAGTGAACAGAATTATTCAAACAAAGTCAAAGTTCTTGTTTTTCTCCACAGGTTTTTCAAATAAAGCTGATTTCGACTGAGGCGTTTTACAGTTTTGATCAGTGTCTTTATGAACATTTTTTTTGCGGTGTTTGTTTGGACTTTAGCTGCTTTTTCACTCACTTTGCTCCTCTCCTTGTTTCTGGCCATGTCAGCTGCACTTTGTTCTTAAAATTAAAGACAAAAGAAGAAAACAAGAAACTGCACCAGATGGTCAACACCTCCAGAAAGCCTAAAATCTGAGTCACTGGAATCAAAATCCACAGGAGTGACTGTCGGGTTGTCCTCCGTGTAAAAACCTCCTTTCCAGATGTAAAGTTCTCTGAAAACAGATGAAGCTCTTTCTTTTCTTTTTTCTTGAATTCTGTTAAAGGCATCTGTCAGACGGGAGTCTTTCATGGTAAAAAATTGCGTGCTCAGGTGACAACGACGGCTAAACCGGTGTCACCTTGGAGCGTCTTCGGTTACATCAGACAAGTCCAATACTTCCTCCCACTCCCCAGTTCAGTTGGTCTCCCTTTGTCTCCCACAAAAGAACGTGACACTTTGAATTGCAGGATGTGATGGATCGCCCTGGAGGTCAGAAGCCTTTACCGGTGTACTGGTTTCATCCCAGCACAGCCGAGCTCCCAGCCTTGAATAGGCGCTGCGGACCTGTGTGTGTGAAGCATTATGAGGTGGGGAGTCACTGAGGCATTGTGGGAAGGATGCCTCTGTTTCTGCACCGAGAGGGCGGCCTGATTGGCTCCGTTCACATGCAGTCGATCTTATTTACTTCAGATTTTCCACCTTAATGTAGGATATCATAACATCTTATTCTTCATAGCAACAAAATAATTATTTTTTAAAACTCATTAGAGAAATTATGCGAAAATGAGCAGAAAGTGAATTAGTTTCCTGAAACTGATTTAAAAATGTGAATAAAATCATGTTGATGGGAAAATCAGTGATTTACAAAAGTATTCAAACGCCATCAGGAGTCAAAATTCAAAATAGTTGATTAATTCATTGATTTTTACTCTCATCTTGAGTTAATTTGTGAATTTGTGTTTTGTTTTATTCGTGCCACTCAGAAGAAGAAAAGGGGGAAAAATTTGTAAGAAAAAATTATAAATGAAGTTATATAAATAAATATTTAAAGTAGCTGAGGTCAGAGTTCTGTCAAAAGCACATCATACAACTTGTTTCTGGACTTTGACTAGGCCGTTCTAACATATTAATCTAAACCAAAACTCTGAAAACCAAAACTTTGATGTTTTTATTCATGGACGCGATAAGAAATGGAGATTTTCTGAGTTTTTCTGCTAGTTCTTGTGCAAAATCTGCATAAGATAATTAACCAGGTACAAACTCAGCAGCAAATTCTTTCTTTGCTTTCCAAATTTATAGGAAGGCTCACCCCATTTTCTACGGTATTTTTTCTTTTCTTATATATAGGATTCATTTTGTTCTTAAATCTGAAAATAGAAATAAATTTTAGCTTAATTTTTTTATTCTTTGTATTTTATCTAATAAAATAGTTTTTGCAGCTCTTGGTTTTATTTCATAGCAGCGGGGCTAAAACCAACATCTGCAATGGAAAAGTCAGGAACTGAACTTGACCCCACCAGTAAAAGTTTCCTGTCAACAGATTCTTCCACCTGAGCGTTGGCGCTCTGCGGCTCCTCCAGAGTGACCAAGGACAACCTTTATGATCCAAACAGTTCAGGCTTAGAGCTCAAACCGACTTATATTTATGATAATTATGTGCTAAAGGAAATGTTTTCATGATTTTTAAAGAATTACCATTCTAATCTCACTTTTTAGAACTTGAAGTCTTATGTTGCGTTGTTTCGTTTTATTCTGTTGAACTCCAATAAAAACACTGAGTAGATAGAAAAGCATTACACAAATAAAATGTACTATTATAACAGAGATCTTACCAAAACTGACACCATCAGCTTCTATTTACCAATCTCATCTTCATGAGACTGACAGAAATACTGTCTTCAGTCAGAGGCTTCTTCAAACTGCTGTAACACTAACTGGAACAGGAGATCCACAGTCTTCAGAATATCCAACTACTGAACTTAAATAATTTGATTTAATTTCCTGTTGGTGTCAGTAAAGTATTCTTGAATTGATTGGAATTGAATATAAACTGTTTTCTGAAAACATTTGGTTATTCTGGTTTTAAAATCTCTTACAAATATTTGGGGGATATTTGTGAAACATTTTAAAAACTAGACATTATTATCCTCCCACTTTACATTGATGAATCTTTGTTTTGGGCAGAGGTGAGTAGTAACTAGTTACATGTACTTAGTTACATGTAGTTACATTTACTTCAGTAACTTTTTTGAAAACATTTCCTTTTAGGAGTAGCTAGCGCTGCTCTTACTGGAGTAAAATGTCTGGATTCTGTGTCTGCACAACACATGGACAAAACTGCATGTGTTTAACAAAACACATGCAGTTTTGTTAAAGTTTCATAAGATTTTTATTGAAAGATTTGGAAAAATGTTCTTTTGCCTGAATTTATTTATTTTTGTTTCTTATATAAATCATCATCATTTTGGTTCTTAAATGATAAAATATTTCCATCTAACTTTATGTTTCAATCCGTCTGATAATGTGATTTTTTTAAACATTAAATGATTGATAATTTGATCAGTTAGTACTTGAGGAAACTTATTGCCGAATCCTTTTTAACCCTTACTCGAATAATTGGACGGCTACTTTTTACGTTTACTGGAGTAAAAATATGTTGAAGTTTTGCTAATCTTACCTGAATACAACTTTCCGGTTCTCTGATGGTTTTGGGTTATCACATAAAATCCTGATAAAATACACCGAAGTGTTGGACAAAATGTGGAAAAGTTTTAAATCAACCTACAGCAGAGGGAAAATCAGAGTTTTTATTCGACATTATGGAGCCAGAATGTACCGTACATTAGAGTCTCATAAATAAATGAATGACTCTAAAGATGGAAAAGTTTCCTCCTTTCTCATAATGACTCTTTTTAAACCAGCCAAACTCTGACTTTTTCTTTGCCTCCTTTCTTCCCCATCTTACCTCCCAGTAAAAAGGGTCAAGTGCTCCGTTAAAACACACAGTGTATAATTTTATGGGCTTTTCCCGGCGGAGGCTGCTGCAGTCGGCGTGGAGGAGCGGCAGCCGCGGATCAGTTTCAGGCTTTCTCAGATGCTGAATGGGGGCGGAGGAAGAAAACTCATTAGAGTCCTATAAAAAACAGAAAGTATCTGCGATCATAAAGGAGCCTGCAGGAGGACAGAGAGCCACTCAGCCGGTGGAGACCTCCTCACACACTCCTCACACACTCCTTCATCACTCAGCCCGTCAGCGCGCTCGGTGCGTGGCGCACGGACAGAGCCGGGGCGCGCTGCTCACCCAGACATAAACTGTAGCTTGTTCCACAGGATCAAACCTTCTTTTTATGATTATTATTATTATTATCATTACGTTGAAACCGCGGTGTTAACTTAGAGGATGCTCGACTCAGCTTGGAGTAGATGCTGCTTTGTGCTGTTTCTCGTCGCTTCTGTGAGGACGGAGGCATCCCAGGTGTCCGAGGCGCGTCCGAAAGCCAACTCCATCAAGCCCTCTTCCCTGGAGGAGACGCCGACCCAGGCAGCGAACCGGTCCGCCCCGGTCACCAGGAAGCAGCGGCTCCTCCCGCAGGTACGCTCCTCCAATTCCTGACCTGCTAAAAAATGACGTCTGGTGATTTTACGCACAAAAAGGAGTAAGATAAAGTCGCAAATGCTTTTCCTTTTCTGCTCCATTTCTTGTTTCTTTTCTTGCCCAGCTCAAGTTTCGCAGCTTTTAATGAGCCTGAACTGCATTTGATCCGCTGAGGATCAGAATCTAAAGCGCTTTGCCTCAAATACGGACTAGATTGTTCAATATTGATTATGTACTGATCGATTGGTTTTGGTGAAACATTTACTCTGCGTTTGCTCAAACGACCAAAAAAGTTTAATTTCACTGCTTTTACGGACTTAAGGCGACATTTGATGGGGTTAATCTTCAAACACTTAGAGCACTTTAAACAATATCGGTGATTTGAAACCAGAATCATTAAATGCTTGATTTCTCCAAATTTTGCTGGTTTTACATTAGACAACATTTAAAAAGTGCTTTATGCCTAAAAATCTTTGAAATAGTCAGTAATTTTGTGTTTTCACAAGTAGAACTGGAAACTTAGGCATCAAACTCTGTTTCTAAGATTCTTTGATTGTAGAATAATGCAGATTATTGTGGTTTTTGTTCTTTAAAGTGATCTACAACAGCACAAATAACCTGTTTCTGTGTTTCGCAAAAAGTGTAAAAGCTTCAAAATGTTCAACCCTAAGTTTAATTGATGAGAGTTAAACCTGTAGTTCAAGTTTAAATGTCAGAGTGTTGCAGTTTTTATGCTAGACACCATTAAAATACTCTAAAAGTCCTAAAATGTGTCTGAGTTTCACATGGAGAAGAAAAGATTGCCAAGGAATTACTTTGTAGCTGCTTTTATCATTTTTATCCACTTTTATAAAGCAAAGGTTTTACTCACCGTTGATGTTCTGAAAGCACTGAAATGACTCCTTTTCTTGCGGTTTTGCAGAAAGAATAAAGGTGTCATAAATCACAGAGTTTACTGTTACAGATTGCTCTTTATAGTGGATAATTAGGCACTATAATTAGGTTGCAGTGGTCTGAGAGCAGCAGTCTGTCTAAAATGAGTTTAATGCTCCCAAAACATCTGAGAAGCTGTTTTATTATCTTCCACATAAAAAGTAAAAGTTTTACTTCCCAATAATTACGATTCTTTGATAATATTCAGGTTATGCTAGTATAAATACTGTGGTTTTTAATCTAGACACCACTTAAGCCACTGCAATAGACATTTTTGAGTATATTGATAAATATAATAAGCATTTCTGAGACCATAAGCTGAAGTATAATCCAGTTTAGGTCTAAATATTCCAGTTTTTATATTTTGTTCCCTTTGAAGTGATCTATGGCGAAGAGAACCCATGAAAATGACACATTTTTGTCATTTAAAATGAATTAAATGATGGTTTAAGACGTCACAAACTTTATCATAAAGGTTATTTGATTAGAGTAGAATGTTACTTTCCATGTGTTAAAGGATCAAATGCAGTCCAAGCTCTCTAAAAACGGCGGAATTGCCCTTTACTTAAATGCCCAAATTGGAATTTATGATTCAGGATTGAACTCCAAAAATCACAGAATAAAACCTGAAACAAGCTCTTCCTGTCATGTGTGGATCGTTAGTGGAATTTGGAGCGTCGGACCCCTCGTAAACCCCTAATTGCCTTTTCCAACCTGACGCCGCTGGCGGGAGCTGCTAGCATCCACAGTAAATCATTAATGCAGCAGAAATGTGAGAAAAAGTTAACACTTGAGGTAATTTTCTGTCTGGGTCTTAGTGCTGTTAAAGTGGTCCAGACGCTTGCTGGGATTATGGGGCCCTTACGGGGCGTCTGGGGGCTCCGCTAACGCCGCTCAGACTGTGGTCAGCTCAGGTTTTCATCTCACACTAAACACACAAACGCTTTTTAACTTCTAATCTAACTGTTAGGACTTAAAGTCAAAGTCCAGGTCGTTAAATCCGCCTCTCTGAGCAGCTTTCCAACTCAGTTTGAAGACTGATATCTGCTCTTGTCCGTCATATTCACCTTTCCTGTTACATCATTTTGCTGTTGCGGTGAAGCCCTTTAATACCTGCTAAGTGCTGCCGGCCGGCTCAGACGCAGGAATCGCTGGAAAAGCCGCTCTCTCTCCTCTGCGGAGTGTGGAAAAGCAACCTCAAGCAGCGCTGCCAAACCGCAGATTGAACGGCTGCTCTACCGGTGCCACTGCCGCAGTGTTTGGTGGTTTCGGGGGAGCAGACAGTGGGGGGAACCATCTGCATGTGCAGAGACCACCACAATGCCACGGCGGCTTTCCACAGCATCAGGATGCCACAGGGCAGGTTAAAGGTCCGGGCTGCATCTCTTCATCACACTGCAAAAACACAAAATCTTACTGTAATTTTGTTTCTATCGCAAATATCTTAACACACTTGAAATAAGAAAAAAAATAATTTACAAGTAACTTTTCATAAAGAAATAGCTCCTTTTAAGTCAATAATTCCTTAATATTGATGAAAAAGTATTTGTTTCATTGGCGGATTATTTTGCCACAAATCTCTTGTTAGACGTGAAATAATCTGCCAATGGAACTAGAACTTTTTCATCAATATTAAGGAATTACTGACTTAAGCTCCTATTTCTTTATGAAAAGTTGCCCAGGAGTTAGTTTTGTCTTATTTCAAGTGTACTAAGATATTTGCACTAGAAATTAGACTAGAAATACTTGGTATGATTTTGTGTTTTCTCAGTGCATGAGGTTTTACTTATAGGTAGTAATTCCAGTTTTAGTTTTGAACTAACAACTGCAGGATTTTCTTTCCAAAGTTTGTCACAGTGGAAGTTTAAACATCTTCTCTCTGTCGTTTGTGAGGCTAATTACTGTGATTAAAGCAGCTGGGTGCAGATTTGGAAGAGTTTGCTTAAACTGTGAATCAGTGGGTTACGTATTATCACTCCTCTGCACTACGGCTCACCGCCCAGGGTGCCAACATCTGAAGGCCAAAAGGTTTTCAAATCAATCAGTTTTCTATTGTTTGTTTGAATCACCAGTCGAAGGGTTTGGGGATCATCTTTGTGGTTCTGAGAAGTTTGGCTACGTTCCCACAGCAGGAAAACCCAAATCTGACTTTTCCAAGCCAGTCTGAACGGCCCGGTTCTGATCTTTTCATTTCCCCCAAAATCCAGTTCTTGCCACTTCCTTATGTGGATCTAAAATGGTTTTCAAAGAGTCTGCGGTTTGAACTTTCCTGTCGCATTTTATCCGACTTTTATGTCTTTGTCGTGAGACATGCATTGCGATTCTGCACCACAAGAAGCCAGATCTGCTCGTAAATAATGACTGAAAATTATAACTATGAATTTCAGGAAGGGGTGAAGTCGGAGAAGCATCACCTTACAGTTCCACCTCTCACAGTTCAGACTCCACAAACAAACAGATTCCTCTGCAGACGTTGTAGTCAATGCTCCAGTAATCTCTGTTGCTTGTGCTTTCATTTGATCGGCGTCCGTTATTACTTTCATAAACAGTGCGCTGCTGTGTGATGTCTGCGTTCTTGTTTGGGATTGTGAACCGTTCATATAGAAGTCATCATTCAGTAATATGAACGACCACATAAAAGAAAAAAATAATCAAAGAATTGGAACTGAGCATGAAGACCCGCTGTGTGAACGCAGCCTTAGAAGAGACTTCATCAGGCATGTGTGTATAAACCAGGCAGGAAGCATCAGATCTGACCAGTTACTTTATTCAGTGAAAATAAAGATTAACTTTATTGAGCAATCTGGGCAGCAGATGTCCATTTAGGATTCCTCTGTCTCCAGAAGGCGACTGTTAAGGAAAAGGACAGGAAGTAGAAAGTTTATCATTTTGATGTGAGAACAGACACTGCTGGGGTCTGATTGCTGCTCTTTGACTGCGCCGTATTAGAACTAGAAATGCATAGAAATACCAGTTTACTTGTAAAAAAGGAGAAAGTTTGAGTATTTTTTTTAGGATGATGGCAGTAGGCAGCATGAGGTGGCGGAGGGGCCACACTGCTTTGCTCCATTCTGCAGGAATCTTCCTTTGGCTTCTCATTTAAGATTAATAAAAACCTCTAGCTGTTAAACTACCACACCACATAGAACTCAGTTTATTCTTCAGAGGTTTTCAGGTTGTTTCCTTCAGTGGTTCTTGGTGCAGCGCCCCCACAGGTGAGGAGGGGAACAGCTTTTCTAAAAAGGTTAAGATCGTTTGACTCAGTGTAATATGAACATAAACCACAGCAGCTGAAAATGTAACAAATGTTGTAACTTTAGTTCCCAATAAAACTTAGTCTACCCGACTGTGTGAAAACAACCTAAGAAACTTTCTATTTCTTTAGATTTCCAGTTCAATATTCCAGTTCCAGCCTCAATATTATTTTTTTATGCCACAATGTCAATTATTTACAGATTAAGAAGCCATTTAGAGAATTTACAACAATATTTCTGTGAGTGAAGAGGAGGAACAGACACCCAAACATGTTAGTATTTCCCTGCTCCAGACAGGAAAATGCTAGCACTGGCTATGCTAGCCAATGCTAATGTTTCCCTCCTTCATTTGGCTCAGGCACAGAAAAACAGCAAGTCGATAATAAATCACATTATTGAATGAACCTGCAGGAGTGAGCATCTCTGATCTGAAACACATCAAACATATTTCTGAGTTATCTGGTGAATTTCGTTCTGCATCAGATTACAGGTGGGTGATACTTAAAGTTTTATTGCAATATTGTTTGCTAATATTTTGATAAAAGTGATGATAAAATCTATTTATCACTTTTTTATGTAACTGTCTGGCTGTGACAGCAATCAGAACCAAACAAACACAAATCCTGCATTTACATTATTAATGTGTCACATAAAGAAGTGTGACTAAAAAGCACACAGTATTTCATCATATTTGTTAAACTTATTGATATTTATTGATACTCTCAAAAACAATTAGTGGAGAAAATAGTAAAAGTAGAGTTTTTGCAACATTTGGTTTATGCCAAGTGTCCCAGTCAAAGTAACAATCTG